TGGTATTTTGCATGCTATGGAATGGGAAACCTGGACACAAACCCAGTCACATGACTTTCAACCTACAATCTGTCCTGCCTGGAAGATGTGCTGGGTCAATCTTGGCACAGAACTTGTGTGCTTGGCCAACCCATGTCTGACTTAACTTGAGGTCCTCCCCAAGAAAAAATCCATATTGTACTCTTCCTGGATGGCCAGGACCTGAAGACAGGATAGCTCAGACACCTAAAGTATAATAAAACATGACTAGGAAAACAATGATATGATTCCTAATAATATTCTCCAATACTTATAGATTGATTTCTTGTCATTCACTATTAGAGAGGCTTCTCATCAGCAAGTGGGATTAGGTCCAGAAGCCCACAGCCATATATTATGTGGAGAGAGAGTCTAAATTGGAGGTCTCTTTTGGGTCACCCCTCAGAGGCTGGGGGATCTCATGAAGAGTAACAGGAAACATTATAGGAATCAGAGGGAATAAATAACTCTAGTGGAACATGGCCCACTGACTCTTCTAAGCTGGGCACACATGGACTCACATAGGGTAAAGCAGAAAGGATCAGGGCTACATGGGTCTGCACCAGGTACTCTGCATGTTACTGTTGTTAGCTTGGTGTTTTTGTGAGACTACTAACAATAGAAGGAGGTGTGTCTTTGGTTCTTTCGTCTGCTCTTAGGACACTTTCCTTCCTATTGATTTGTCTTGTACAGCCTATGTACCAGGCTATTTGCCTTGTTATATTGTATTTTGTTTTGTTTTATTTGCTTTTTATTTCTTGGAGACCTCTTCTTTTCTAAGTGTGCATGGGGCAGGGTCGGGGGGAGGGATTAGATCTGGGAGGGAGGGGAGGTGAGCTCAGAGGAGTGCTAGAAGGGGAAACTGGTTGAGATGTCTTGTATGAGAGAAGAATCTGTTTTCAATAAAAATAAGGATTGATCATAATTATCACTCTACCTATTTCATTTTTACAAGGAAAAAAAATTGTCCACTATTTTATCTTATTCAGTTCATGCACTCATACATATCCATGCACACATATCCATGCAAAACTGATATTAATTGCATTTATTTTCTCTGTTTAAAGTAATATAAAATGCAAAATAAAAATGACTTAATCTGCTAAAAAAAAAATATGTGGAACTAAGGGCTTTGTAAAATGCTCCCAGAAGAGAGGTCATGGTACATAAAATTCAAATGGTAAAATATTGGTTATACAATTATGAAAATGTCCAAGTGATACTAAAGTCTTTGCTTGTACACAGAATAATACAATTGAGAAAACTAACTTTATGTTATCATATTAATCAATAGAAATATTTCCTCCAGTCTTTTGCAGTCTAGACATCCCAAATTATGTGTTGTGAGCTAATTTCTTAGGAGGAGTTTCTCCATGGTTTGCAGTATCAAAGTATTCTCACTGTCACCACATATTCTCCTTTTATCTAATTACTTCTGTGAGTAATGATTCTGAATATACTCACACTCATAGGAAAACCAGAGTGATTACACAAATACGAATGTTATGTGTATAATTTGTACTCATTCAAGTGTACACTGAGATCAACACACTTATTGAAACTTTAAAGATCTTTTTCCTCTTTTTTTATTGGATATTTTATTTATATTTCAGATGTTTTCCCCTTTCCCCATTTCCCCTCACACAGAAACCACTTATCCCATCCCTGTCCTCCTGCTTCTATGAGGATATGCCTCCACCCACCCACCTACTTCCACCTCCCTGCTCTCAAATTGCCCCAGACTGGGGCATCCAGCCTTCACGGGACCAAGAATCTCCTCTCCAACCTATGCCCAACAAGGCTATCCTTCCCTACATATATGTATACTCATAAAATTCAAATTGTATAAAACACATAGTTGTTACACATATATGTTACATCATCATATTTTATACTGCCATACTAATCAAATATCATCAACCTAGAATAAAGTAGATAAGAACTAATCTTAGTGTTTTTCTCTTAATTAGTTTTGTTTAATTTTACTTGAAAGTCATTTCCTGCTTCAGTCTATCTGTGAATTTGAATTGAGTTAAATATAGATCAAGATTCTGACACCTCAGATTAGGTGTTCAAACCCCTGAGTTTTATTATCACTGTGCTAATTTTGGAACATGCATATCTTCATGAGTTACTTCATCATCTATTGCATTGGCATGAGTACCATTGCTGACCTATACTGTGGCACAAGCCTCTGTTATCATCACTTAGGAAGCTGAGTCAAGAGAATTGGTTAGTCTGAGGTCAATTTAGTCCACATGATAAGACAAGACTTATGAAAGTAAATAAGATAAAATTCTTCAATTATGCCCAAAAAGTATATTTACAAATGTTTGTACTTAAATCTCACAATACAAATATACATAGACACACACAAAGGCAGAGAGAGAGAGGAGAGAGCGAGAGCGAGAGAGGGAGAGAGCGAGAGAGCGAGAGAGCGAGAGAGCGAGAGAGCGAGAGAGCGAGAGAGAGAGAGAGAGAGAGAGAGAGAGAGAGAGAGAGAGAGAGAGAGAGAGAGAAACATAAGAAGCAGCTGTCTGAAAACTACAATTCCTTCTCAGGATGAGACTTGTTCCACCTTTAGGAGATTCTACAAAGAGTTAGGTGCCATTCACTACACAGCCTTAGGTTCTATTTTATTTTGACATATGACAACCTATGTTTTATTGTACATGCTACCTTCCCTTGGAGTCAAAGCCAAAGAGGGAGTCATTTCTCTTTATTCGGGGATATTATTTTCATTATAAATCAAAAAAAAAAAACTCACAAGAATCTTTCACTTTGATTATACTTGTAATCATTTCTTTTCCAGCAAAAGATAAATATTTAACTATTTTAAAATCAAATTTCCTTATTTTCATTATTATTAAAGAGTACATTTGGTTCTATTATGAATATATAAAATTGACTTTTTTCATCTATTTGTAGGATTTTATATTTAAAACAGACTCCATCTTTATATTTTCATAGTATATTTTTAAATAAAAACAGTTAATATTCACAGGAAGATGAAGCAAATTGTGTAGCTGTCATATTTTGCTAAAAAAGATAAAGTCCCACAGGAAAACAGTGCCTCAGTAAACCTTATGATATTACAACATGTTTATCAGGTTGAGAATGTACAGTGCATTTAGTGAAGAGTAATGCACACCTGATTCAAAATACACAAAACTAAGTCTTTTGTAAAGTGTCCCCACAAGTCAAACCCTTATACATAAAATTCTAATGGTAAAATATTGGGTGTATATTAAAATAATTATGAAAATATGCAAGCAATAACAAAATCTGCTCTTCTACACAAAATAATGTGATTGAGAAAACTGATATTTTTGTTTAAAAAAAAACCTTAAGTGGCAATTGCCTCTACAGTCTAATGTCAAGTTTATTACAGTCTATATTTTATTGAATGCATTTTACTCAGAAAAGAGTCACATTTTACATTTTAAAATATCTCTTATGAAAAATTTTTCTGCCTCATCCTTGATACTATTACTGATAAATGTATAAAATGTTTATGTTTGTATGAATAATGTTTTCTTTTCCAGAGTACCAAGAAATTATCTGATATGAGAATTGTACTACTTATAATTATAGTCCATAAATATATATCTTCTTTTAGTTTTTAATTGTTTATTTAAAATGTATTTTAATTGTAGTCATGTTAAATCACATTGAACATATTCATTGTTTTCATCAGGCTTCTTGGGGACATCCAAAGTGTTACTGAATTAGTCCTTGAACTTTAATTTTTGAAAGTATGCCAAATAATCTTTCTGGAAAATTGATCCCCAAGGAAGACCACATATTGGTGACATTCATTGTCCTTAGGTGCTGGCAGAGATAAAAGTTCTTTAATTCCTCACTTTATGTATATAGTAGCTACGTAACATGCTTTTGAATCATATCTGCATAAGAAATTTTACAATTTGTTGATATTCAAGCATAATTTCCAGGGTGACTTAACTCTGAATTAAAAAAAAATGAGTGGACAAATATACAAAGGTATTGATCACATACCACATATATGCTGCAGTACAGAAACATTTGAGTCTTTAGTCATATTTCACATATTATTCATCATAAAATTAAAAATTACCATAATTTTGGATAAGTGATATTGAAAGATTCATTCATTGACTTTTATTGGTATTGTGTTCCATTCATGAACTCTGGCTCACAGTAAGTAATCATTAAAATTTTGGATCTTTTTCAATGATATAAGGGCTTTATTTTATAAATAAGTAAGTACTTAGTTTTTGTGCCTTAATTAAGTAAATGTCAAGATTTGTACAACCACACAACATTGATTGAGAGTCCATGAGTGATAAGTATAATTTTAGAATATATTTGAGGTATCATTGACATAAAGAGAATGCACACAATCTCCATTATTGTTTATATGACATCTAGTACCCTATTAAAATCTATCAAAACTAAAATCTACCTGTAGTTACTTTATACTAACATCAAAAAATTAATGAAGAAGAAATAAACTCTAACATAGTTTTCTCTTCTCTATACATAATAGGTAAGAAATTAGGGTTAGAAGAGTAGTCGTATATAGGACAATATCATATTAATGTTTCTTTGAGCAAAACTATAGGGAAAACATCCATTTGAACTCATTTCTGACAAGTTATTTGACTTTTCTAGATTCTTATTTTAAAATAGATGCATGCCTGTAGTGACTCTAGACAAATATTTGATACTAATTAAGTTGCTATTAAAGGAAATTATATATACAATGCTAATATGGTAATTACAAACTTGAATTATGCTACCCCTTATCGTACCCTAGCCAAATATGAGTTTTTTATTTCTACCTTCAATATTTATTCATCCTCATACTGTAAAAGAAATATCAATATTGTACTAACAAAATTAACAAACATACCAGCATGTACATTTAAAGAAATCTCCTTTTTAAAGTTAATCGAGTTGAGTATCACCTTTGATATTTTTCCAGTTTCAGGGAATTCAGTATGAACACTTGGAATTACACAAAAGAATCTGACTTTATCCTCATGGGACTGACAGATTCCAAAGAGATACAGCTAGTCCTTGCTGTACTATTTCTCCTGATATACCTCGTCACTGTGCTGGGGAACATAGGCATGATACTGATCATTCGTCTAGATACTCAGCTTCACACGCCAATGTACTTCTTCCTAAGCCATTTGTCGTTCCTTGACCTCAGTTACTCAACTGTCATCACACCTAAAACTTTACAGAATCTGCTGACTTCCACCCAAATCATTTCCTTTGTTGGCTGTTTCACTCAGATGTATGTTTTTGTCCTTTTGGCTGCTGCTGAATGTTTCCTTCTTGCTTCAATGGCCTATGATAGATATGTGGCTATCTGCAACCCTTTACACTACCCAGTTATCATGTCCAAAAGATTCTGCAGTACCCTTCTCACTGGTTCCTATGTGATTGGAACTATGGACTCCACTGTTAATATATTTTGTATGAACACCTTATATTTTTGCAGACCCAAGGTAATCCATCACTTTTTTTGTGACACATCCCCAATTTTAGTACTGTCTTGCAATGATACATATAACATTCAAACCATTATATTCATCTTTGCTGGTTCCACTCTAGTGGCTTCTCTTATCACAATATCTGCATCCTATGTGTCTATTCTCTCTACTATTTTGAAGATCAATTCCACTTCAGGAAAGCACAAAGCCTTCTCCACTTGTGCCTCTCATCTTCTAGGAGTCACTGTCTTTTATGGTACTATGATTTTTACTTATTTGAAACCAAGTAATTCCGACTCCTTGGGAAAGGATCAAGTGGCTTCTGTTTTCTATACTATTGTGATCCCCATGCTGAACCCACTTATATATAGTCTCAGAAACAAAGAAGTGAAAAACGCTGTCCATAGAGTTATCAAAAGCAGGAAGGCTCAAGGCTTAAATTCAGAGTGGCACTAAGTGATTAAGCTATTGTTTTCTTTCACACACACACACACACACACACACACACACACACATATATAATAAGATTTTCATATACATATATATGTATATGGAAATCATTTCATATATGTATATGAAAATCATTCCTTTATTGGCTATTTCACTCAGATGTCTGTTTTTGTCCTTTAGGCTGCTGCTAAATGTTTTTTTTCTTGCTTCAATGGCCTATAGGATATATATATCCTTTGGTTTGTCTCTCTAAATGCACCAGTCAACATGATTTCTATCTCTGTGGAACTTCTCTTATACATACACAACCTTGGCCATTCATAGGAATATTGTTTCTAAAAGTTCTTATATTTGGAAATAAGGAAACACATTAGTGATGGTTTAGATAAGTATATGTTACTTATAGCATGAAAATATAACTTTGAAAAAATATCAATATCTTCAGAATCATTATTTATTTTATAGTATGTGAATTAATGAGCTAGCTATGAAATGATTAATGATTTTCTGACTCTTTAAGCCTCATTTTCCTAGATTCATAATATAAATAGTAATACTAGGAGCATGTGATGGAACAATGAATTAAATGTATTAAAGTATAATCATAGTAAACATAATGCTATTAATTATAATTAAGATTTAATTTTTAATAATTTATACTCATGTCTTTTCTTTAAGAATACCTACTGTGTTTTGCAAATATATGGAGTTATCACAGGAAAATACTAGAAAAGCTATAACCTGCTATTCTCAAATATTGATTTTGTAATGTACATTATATTAGGAAATTTTCATGTGCTATTTGTGATCATTGAAGTTGACATTGTAAGTGGTGTTACCTTATCTCATTTCAGAGTTATGGCTGTTTATCAAACTATCTGCCAAAGTTTCAAAAGAGAGTCTTATTCTCATAACACTGTATTTAGGATGTGAGAGAATAGGAAATAGTCACAATGTGCCCTTGGGAACCAACAGAAGTTTAACCATTTCCAAAAGTTGTTATTGCTGTTTATACTATGAAATAAAAGTGCTCGCCACTGGAAAATGAAACTGGGAACATATGATGACTGTCTTAGTTTTCTTAATCTAGTACTAAATAAACTCACTAATTTCAAACAAAAACTTATGTCTATCATAGAACATTCTCTGGAATGTACAGCAAATTTTAGAATAAGCTATTAAAGTGAATTATGTTAAAAGTGTTATCTGCTATTTTTTTTTTTTACAATTTGAAAATAATTAATATTTTTAAGGAATAGAAACACTGCAATAATTTTAGAGAACCATGTGCAAACTGTTCAAAATTAATGATGGTAGATGTAAGAGACATAGAAACAAAATCATGTTGTTCCATTTATATTCCTTTGACACATTCTTCACTCATTAAAAAACCTCATATTGCCATTGCATTCTGTAAGATTAATGTTTTCTAAGTGTATGAAGAAAATTAAGCTTCTAATCTTATATTGTTACTATATACATAAATGTATCTTTTATGCAAGAACACACTATACATTTGAAAAACATTTAATTCTGAGACATATCCAATACCTTAGGGTTTTTAGATGGTTTAAAATTAAATTCTCATTTAGAAAGTTGACATGCTTTTTACTTTTAGATTTTATAAAAGAAATATATGAAATCAAATAAGTGACAAATAGATGTTTTGTTATGCATCTTAATTTTTGTTATAGTAAAATTGCATTTATTTTTAAAATTTTACATATATGTTCTGTACATACAGTTTAAATTGGATTTCTTCATTTTCAACATACAGTCCACTTTCCAATTGTTTAATATTTCTGTTTCCAAACTTGTTTGTTTGTTTTACAAGTATATACATGTATATGCATATGCATATGCATACATATATGCATATGCATATGTTTATATATATGTATGTGTGTGTGTTTTAGTCAACCCCCATTACCCACTTTTATTTCTTTTTCTCTTTCTGTTTCTTTTCTCTGTGTCTCTGTCTCTGTGTCTCTTTCTCTGTCTCTATCTCTCTCTCTCTTCCCCCTTTCTCAATTACTGTGTTATTCTAATTTTTTTTCTTGGACATACTTTGGTTAGTTAGGGTTGCTTATGGAAACATAAGTGACAGATAATTTTTTGGACCTTGGACAAGTCAGCAAAGGCTATATGAGTGAAAAGAGAATGACAACCTTCTCCTGGCAATCATTTACTGATCATAATCAGGAGAAGTAGGGCTTTAGAGTCACCTGCCACAATAATAGCAGAAATGTGAAGGTCTGAGGAAGCTCCTACATATATCTCTCTCTGCTTTCTCTATATAGTCACAATGGTCAGGACCTGACTGTGTTTCAGTGCTTCACAGAATTTTCCCTCATCTTCTTACTCTTCCTTCTCATCACTTTTCTGCAAGGTTTCCTGGTTTTGGAGTGAGTGACATGTTTTTCATTTATGTATGAATCTGTAACAGTCACTTATTTTAGGTGGATTTACAATATATAAGCCTCTGATTTGTAGTTTCCTACTCCAAAAATGAGCTTCTTATTCAAGCCTCAAAGCAGTTCTAGTCTATGGATATAAGCATACACATTTAGAAGGCAGTGTGATAATGTGTCCAGTCACCATTACGATGTAAGCATGTTTCTCTATTGGACCTGAGATCTTCCACACCATACTCTTTTGTCCAGAAGACCTCAAATGTAATATAACGACTGTTTGTTACTCCCAAAATATCCATCTCACTGTAGTGGGCATATTTTGTCTGACAGTTGGGTATTGTAGAATACAAGGTCTGCAACTGGGTGATATTACTCATGATATTTCTTTACACAACAGCATGAATGTTCCCTTCAAGCTCTGTGTACTAATGAGCAGCAAGGAATAAGCTTGTTCTATGAATTCAGCTTAAATTTCCTTTATCCTGTAGCTAAAATTGGTACTAAGCTCAGCAATATTTTTTACGATCCAATTCAGCCTGGCAGGCAATCCAAAGCTATGATAACAAACTATATTATTCTCTGTGGTGAGTTAGCTAAGTTACATTTCTAAATTCCTGTAACAATTAGTATTAATATTATTTATTTTATGTACTTTTTGTTGTTGTTTTCCAATAATTTATTATCTCATTTTATATCCCAATAGCACCCGCTCCTCCAACTACGCCCATATATAGCTTGTCCCTTCATCTCCTCTTCGTTTCTCTGTTAAGGGTGGAGTCCCTCTTCTAGGTATAAGCACACCCAAGCATATCAAGTCACTGAAGGACTAGGCATATTCTTTCCCACTCAGGCCAGACTAGGGAGCCCAGTTAGGGGAACAGAATCCACGGGAAGATAATATTGTCAGGGACAGCCCCCACTCCAGTTGTTTGGGGACACACATGAAGACAAAGCTGCACCTCTGCTACATATGTGCATGGACCCTAGATCTAGTCCATGTATGTTTTTTGGTTGGTGGTTCAGTCTCTGAGAGTTCCCAAGTTTCCATGTTAGTTGACTCTGTTAGACTTCTTGTGGATTCTCTCTCTGCTACATGCCCTCAATCTTTCCTCTGACTGTTTCACATGACTCCCCAGTCTAAAGTTTGGATGTGGGTCTCTGCATTTGTTTCGGTCAGGTGCTGGGCACAGTTGCTCAGAGGATAGTTATGATTACTCATCTCTGCAAGAGTAACAGAGTTCTATTAATCACGTCAGAGATTGGGTCTTGCCCGTGGCACGGGTTTCAAAGTGGGCCAGTAATTGTTTGGCTGTGTCCTCAGTATCTGGTCTGACTTTTTCCCTGTACTTGTACACAGTATCAATTATGGCATCTTGTTGATTGAGCCTTTCTAAATATATAAATCCTTTAGATAATCATTAAGTTTTAAGAGTCTCATTTCTACAGGGTACTGCAAGGATGGCAGATATTGTCTGGGGTTCAGCCGAGCTTTGTGGATGCAGCGTAGGTCTAGTTGTGGCAAACCTGGCCTCTGGCTGCTTTTACCTGTGGTGTGCTTGACTTCTGGCCATTTCTAGTGTAGAACATGGCATCCAGAGCTAACCAGAGCCATCCTCCACTCTGGTGTCTCATGGGTGCCAGGGCCTACACATCTAGCTAGCCTGAGCCCCTGTCAGAGCTGAGGAGCAGCAGGAACATGGTAACAGCCCGGGAACAAGCAGAACAGGGCACCATTTTCTAAATATAAACCCCTACAGATCTCCATTTTATATGACGTACCTAAAGGCCTGGAGGGATTAGTCAATCAGATTTCCTTTGCAGAGATTCCTCTCTGAAAGAGCTATTTAATCTCATGCCCACCCTGAGAAGTGGGGTATGGTTTTACATATCCTGTTTCTGCTATGACAATAAATTCCTTAAAATCATGAACAGTATCTTTTTCATCAGGATCTGCTATGAATAGCCATGGATAAGGCCTTTACCTATAGAGCTACCGTCTAATATCCCTTAGAAGACCTCTCTGCACTCCCAGCTAAGACCACCACCAAATTCAAGCCTGCTGCTGCCTATCAAGACAAGAACTCTTCCCAAGGGACCAGTTGGAGCTCTCCTTCCCCCATCCCAGATCCCAGGCTAGATCTAGCCTGCAGGACCACCTCACCTATTGATCCATCCTGTTTGCAAACACTAAACCCGACACTGTTGCCATTGCCAAGAGACACTTGCTAATAAAAATCTGGTGTGGCTTCTCCTTGGGAGGTTCAGCCAGCAACTGACCAATGCAGATGTGGATGCTTGTAACCAACCACCTAACTGACCTCAGGAACCCTAGTAGGGTAAGTGCTGGAAGGACTGGAGGAGCTGAGAGGGATCGCAAACCCATAAGAAGAACAACATCCGCTGTGGGATGGGGGAGCTTGTGAAGGGGTAACTGGGAAGTGGAATATCATTTGAGATATAAATGAATGGAATGATTAATAAAAAATTAATAAATTTAATTAAAAAGGAAGTAACATATGAATATCTATAGCATATTCATTCTATCAGTTAGTAAACACTTTATCTAAATTTTGCCATATCTAAACAATTATCTA